AATGTTCATTAAAAAAATTGCTGCCAACAAATCCGATGAATATCCGATATTTTTGAAAATGTGTGACAATCTACACGGCAATGACTGCACATATGTATTCAGGCTGAAGGTCATTATTTTGAGCACTTTTTATAAAGATAAGCAACTCCATATTACTGTAATATAAATATGACTATAACTCGAAAACAAAGGGGACACATGTTTATATGAACTTTTATTATTGCTTCTGTCCACTAATGAAGTATCGGCTCCACATGTTAAGAAATATCCTGTAAAACTATAGATTTATTAGTACTTAGATGTACTATTAGTAACAGTGAAGATTGGAATATATTCTTAATAATTAATTTAGAAACAATAGATTTAATCTTACTTTCTATAAAAATAAGTAATGTAAAGAAAAATATGCTCTATATACAGACTAATTTAAAGAGTTTCAACTTTTAATTTTTATTATTACGTTTAATAATAATTATCGAATAATACAAATTTAAAATTTAATTAAACTTATTTCAGTATTACAAAAAAGTAACAATAAAATAACGAATCGTTACTTTTCAAGTAACGGTAACGGTAACGCGTTATTTTTTTAAGGTAACGTTCCCAATCCTGGTTATATATTTATATAACAATATATACATATAAATATATATTATATATTTATGTATATATAATATACTTATATATTTATATTTTCTACTACAAGGTAAATATACAAAACTTTGAAAAGCGTCTTCAAAAAATTACGATTTTTTTAATAAGACTCTCTTGCAGCAATGCGATATGTACATCATGGTAAATACCTCTTTAAAATCTTCATACTTTGTAAATTTGATAGGTGGCTCAGTTATTTTATAATTAACAAATATGCTAAAATTATCGTTCTTTTGGGTACAATTAATATTTGTAAATTGATAAATGAAGTCAACATGATCTGTCTCATCTACGGTTACCCTGTTTACGTAGGAATAATTAATATTATCCTTAAAATGTAAAGGTTGAATATGATAACTCGTCATTGTCTCACTCTGAAAAAAAATTAAAAACATTGAAAATAATATTTGTAATTTTTATGTATATACCAAAATGTCACATTTATGATATCATATAATTATTATAGATAGTAATAAAAGTTACTAATTACATTAAGTTAAATAAATTAGTAAAAAAAAAACAAGTAAAAGTTGAAGTAAAAAACTACTGTAAGAGACTGGTCTTTTGATCGCAAATTTTACTTGTTTTTTATATTTATTTTATATTTATTTATCAATATTCTGCAATTCCACGTTAAGTTTTAGCTTCTGTTTTCTGCCATATTTGGTGAGTGTTTATATTTAATATTTTACTCATGTGTGTGTGTGTGTGTGTGTGTGTGTGTGTGTGTGTGTGTGTGTGTGTGTAGACACATTAAATTTAGTGTCATTTTTAAATTTTTGATTGTCTAAGATTATTCGGCTTACCAACCAATCATGAGTGATACTTAAAAATCTTGCCACGTGTGCGGACAAAGGAAGGTACCACCAAGATTTCTGTATTGCTGAGGGTGGCTCAAATCAGAGTCGAAACATTCTACTGTAATTGTGAGGATACTTATTAAACCGATTGAATTTCACATGCACCGCGTTGCCTCTCATTAGCCTCTTTTTTTCTTGTTTATTAAAAAACAGTTTAGTCATTTGTTTTTACACCTTTTTCTTAGTCTTTAAACTTCTCCTTTCTGTTTTTAATAATTGTTATCTTAATACTTATTTTATGCATAAACTAATGAGACGATTCGATTATTGTAAAGAAAACACTTTTTATTTGGAAAAAAGATTTGTAAAAATTGCATTTTTTTAAAAAGCTGTGTGTTTCCTTTTTACTAATCTATTTACCACATTATTCTGTGTATAAAAGTATTAAGTTTTAATTATCAAGAAATCACAATAGGTTACGAAATATTTCATATTTTGTGTCAAAATATATATATCATGATAAAATAAAGGAAATATCTCGTAAAATATTGATTTTTTAATAACTTTAATATTATACTTTTTACGTAAAATAATTAGAGAAATTGTATTATGAGAAAAAATTATACAATTGCATTTAAAAAATCGAAGTGACCTCATATTTTTTTAACACTTCTAGCTAGAAACAAGCAAATTTTGATCAAAATACAAATATACTCCCCCTTAGTATTATTCAACTTTTATGTGAAACATTTTTTGTATCATAAATAATATTGGAGAAAATTGACTGGATTAAAATGAATAATTAATACACACTATACATATTATTCTGCAAAAACATTATACATGTATATTCTAGAACGTATATACATGAACACGCATTATATTTTATCAACAGTACCGCAAAATGATTGCAAATTCTTTATATACAATTTGTGAATGCAAGCCTCAAACCATATCTATTTTTAATGTTCCTTCTGCTACGATTTTATTGACAATGTCAGAAAATGGACGTAGCCATTGCAATATAGCACGTGAATTAAAAATTGGATGTTTTGGCGGAAGTCTACTTAAGGCCTCACGAAAAAAGCTAGGATGGCCGCTCTTAAGTTTTTCTCGGGTGACGTTCACATTCCGCGAAATTATTTATCGCCATTACCTTGATCCCTCATATGTACGTTACACTAAACTGACTAAGCATTTTACTTTCCACTTTTATGCTTTTTACCCCCATATAATATTACGCTCCTAGGGATTTTTATAATGCGTGCAGTTATCGGTCTCAATTAAAGATGCTTTGATAACACTAATTATAAATAATTTATGAAAACTTTACATCAAAATACACAAATTCAATGTCGACATGTTCAAAGATCAGTGTATATGTATACAGGCCCTGCCAAAAATTCAGGGTCAAGGGCCAAGAATTAAGGGCTACCTAAATAATTTCTGATCGAGATATTGAATTGAAATTTATAGAGTTACAATGGCAAAATGTATAATATATCATTTAAACGCCCATTTCAATTTTCCGATCCGAATCTCCATTTTCGAGCTATCGACGAAAAATGCATTGACGCGCTCGAGTGTTTTTCATTTTTCATAAAATAGTCCTTATTTCAAAAAAATCTAATTCGACTGCAGTTGGTCGTACAAAATTTTTGTATAGATCTTTTTTGTGTAAAATTCAATTTTCTACAACTTTCGCGTCTTCACTTTTTCCCCTAAACGTGAAACTTTTTTAGTTATTGGCGAAAAATCGGTTTTTTGAACCTTTTTTGCACCCTAATTTTCGCAACGACCATGATACGGGGGTGGGCTTTTTGTACCTTAATTTTAACCTCAAAAGACACCCCTCCACGAAGTGGCAACATTTCTAGCATTTTTTCCTATCTTAGTCAAAATTTCGGCTCATTTGACTGGGCTATTAAATAACACCAATGTTCAAATAAGCATAACTTTGCAAAGAAAATCGTAGAATCTCAACGACCTCGCGTTCTCCTCGTTTCGAAAAGTCCTTTCAAACAAGCCCTTACTTGACCCCACATGCCATTTAAGATTTTTATTTCCCCTCATCCCCTGCTCCCCTCGGAGGATTGAAGTGGGCGTTTTCAAGATTAAATGATAGACTATTACATTTTGCCATTGTAACCCTATAAATTTCAATCCAATATCTCGAACCGTTCAGAAATTATTTACGATTAAGAATGACTTTTATGTCGCTTTGCCTGGGAAACTCCCTATGCGTATACTGTGATCGAAACTGATTATAAATATTCTGACCTTTACACATCTTTCAATATATGTTCAATGTGCAATATCTAAATGCACGAATTCGAGTAATTTGATAGCTTAACTTTAAACACTCATTATTAATATATATTTAGATTGCACTGTTATCTTCGCGTTTGCTATGTGATTGCCACGTGTTCGACGTCTTTATGATAAGATTCCATATATTCATTCAAATGTTTAAATTCTTGTAGCATAATTAATTGATTTCATGAAGAAACAAATATTTACCTTGTTTTAATTACTAAAATGTATACGTGTGTGTTGTGTGTGTGTGCGTAAATCAATTAAATATAAAATCTTCACAGACGAACAAAATGTTCTATTCACTTTGATAGTCATTGAACAAATGGAATGAGATTCTGAGAGTAAATAAATAAAGGTCCATCTACAATGAGAATAGTAAATCATAAGCTGTAAGAAATTGAAATCAGAGTCGAATATGAGAAGAATAATCGATTGTGATTGGTCAATTTCTTACGGCTTACAACTTGCTACTTTCATTGTAGATGGACCTTAAGATTTTCGTTCGGGCAACTAGTACATGTTGAATACACTGTATTCGACTGTAATAGTCTTTTCTAAAATCTCCAATATTTCCCTAGTAAATGTCCAATCGTATGATATGGTGTCTGTACGTGTTAATTTCACATGCATCAAGTATATCACATTTTTTTTAGCCTACTTCTTTTCCTTCTTGTTTATTAAAGGATAGTTTAATAATTTGTTTTTACACCTTTTTCTTGGCCTTTAAATTGTTCCTTTTTGATTTTAATAATTGTATCTTAATATTTCCTTTATGCATAGAATAATGAGATAGACCAATTAGTGTAAAAAGCACAGTTCATTTGCAAAAAAGATTTCTAAAAATTTCATTTTTTAAAAAAGCATCTGTATATTATCTTTACACCAACTGGTTTATCACATTATACTGCGTATAAAAGTATTAAGTTACAATTATCAGGAAATCAATAAGATATAATATATTTTATAATTTATTTAAAATATTGCATGATAAAATACCAATTAATTCGTAAAATATTGATTTTTAATAACTTTAATTTTATACTTTTATATATGCACAATAATTAGAGAAATTATATTATATGAAAGAAAATTATACAATTTCAATTAAAAATGGAGGAACCCTCATATTTCTTTATCATCTTGATCAATCTAGAAAAAAAAAACTTTTAACCAAAATACAAATGTACTTCCTCTTAAAACCATTTTAGCTCAAATTTCAGTTCAAATTTGTATAAAACATTTATTTGTATTATAAATATTGAAGAAAATTGACTGAATTGATTAAAATGGATCACTCTGTATACATTATTCTGCAACAAAAATTATACGTGTATATTCTAGGACTTAATATAAGCATGAAAATGCATCATATTTTATCAACAGTGTCGCAAAAAGAATACAAATTCTTTATGCAAAATTTGTGAATGTAGCAAGCCTCAAACTACATTTTTTTAAATGTTACTTTTGATGCAATTTTATCGACAATGTCAGAAAATGAACGTAGCCAAGAGCATAGCACAGCAGCCAATAAAAAATAGACGTACTGGCAGTAGTATACCAAAGGATCTGATGGTCCTATATGAAAAAAGCTGGGATAATCGCTATTAGCTAGATTTTTCTCTAACATTCACATTCCTCGAAATTATTCATTGCCATTATTTTGATCCCTTATATGTACGTTATATTAAACATTCTTCACCTTTATGCTTTACCCGCATATAGTATTACGCTCCTACCAGATATTTTCTAACTTTATAATGTGCGTTATCGGTCTCAATTAAGGACGCCTTGATAATGCTAATTATACGTAATTTATGAAAGCTTTTCAGCAAAATATACAAATCCAATGTCGACATGTTCAAAGGTCGGTATGTATATTCATAATTAGTTCATATTACTGATACATACATATTAGAGAGCTTTCCTGACAAATCAACACAGGGGTCATATTATATTCTATTCGATATTCTGCAGTGACAGACAGAGACAGAATGATTCCGGTGTCGATTTGTCTGAGAAATTAACAGCTCCCTACGTATACTGATCAGTGATAAAAACCGATTATGAATATAGATCTTTATACATATATCTTTCGATGTTCAATGTGCAATATCTAAGTGCGCGAATTCGAGTAATTTGGATAGCTCAACTTTAAACACTTCGTATATATGTATTTAGATCCCACACAGCATGAAATACTTTTTGCGAATCCTTTTTTTGAAATATTTCGTAAACCTTTGTAAAACATT